TAAGAGTTTTATTATTTTAACTCCAGAACAGGGTGGGACACATTGAGTCCAGCCGTTGTCAAGGAGGCACTATGGAAAATCAAACTCCTGCCCTATGGCTCTGCAGCCTAAACGACCGAGCTCTCCAGTAAGAACATCCACTGCATTCTCCAGGAGTTCCTGAAGTGGAATTTTAGGAGGTGAAGCCGAGAAGCACAAGTCTATAGCTCAGTGTGTTATTTCCCTATTTTGTTGCTTTTTTCTGGCCTTTTTTCTGTTTTCGAAAAGTAGGAAGCAGCCCTGATGCTTCCTAGGAGGCAGAGGTCTTCTTGGCACTCCTGTTTCTTCAGGAGACACCCTCTGTAAAGCCTAATGAGCAGTGACTCTATGGCTCCCAGTGTCCTTCAAACATAGGGGATCCAGGCCCTGCTGGATGGTTACGCGAGTGTAGAGGTGATTGACTGGAAACTAGGCTATAGACTTGTCTTTCTGGGCTGCCTGACCTACAATTCTGCCTGGAGAACTCTGGGGTTGCAGTCTAAAAATACAAAAGGCCATTCCCTTGTGAACAAGCAGGTGGAATTCCAAAAATTACTGACTTGGACGTTGGAAATCACAAACCTATCTTCATTGATGATACCCAGACTTTAGCAAGCCCTTTTCAGGAGAGGGAGGTGGGAAGATTATGAATCCATAAGTTGCCGCAGGCCATCCACAAGCGCAGCGTCACTTTGTATTCATGTTGCAGGTTTGGATCCTGAGAGGCTAGCTTTCTGCCTTCCTGGAGGTGGGCAGCTAATGGCAGTTTTCGTTTTCCCAGGCCTGGCTGGTCAGCTTACCCGCCCTACGACAACCTGCTACTCTGCTGTTGTTTTTTTAGGTTTTGATTTTTATGGCATGCTCATGCGAAAATCAAAACCTAAAGAAAATGCTGCAAAGGTAGATTATTCTGCTGCTGTTGGATTGTCCTGCCTCAAAGCAGGTTCCCTTGGAGGTCTGGATTCCATCCTCATATGCATTCATCTCGTCTTAACTACCACTGATTATAAGACAGTTCCTGATAGCCTCTAAGGGGATCAGCCTCAAATGTGGCAGCAAAGGGTGTGATTGGGAGACCTTGCTTGAATAAATTGTATCCTAGATTGTTGTGTGAGCAAAGGCACCTGTTATACACCAACCTTTTAGGTGTCATTTTTCTCTGATAACTCTTTGCCCTTCTGTAGAAATCCTGGACTTTGGTTACCCTCAGAATTCTGAAACAGGAGCACTGAAAACATTCATCACTCAGCAAGGAATCAAGAGCCAGGTAAAGCACTAGGGTTGGGTACAAGGGATTGTGTGTGGTGATAGTACCTTGCATGTATAAGAAGAAATGGTCATAATTATCAGGTTTTGTTTGCTGTAATACAGTGGTGCCTAGCATAGCGATTGCTACGTTTAGCGATGAAATCGCTTTGCAATGCATTTTTTGTGATCGCAAAAGCAATTGCTGTGCAATGTTCCCTATGGGTTTTTTTTTGCTTTGCGATGATCGGTTCCCTGCTTCGGGAACCGAGCATCGCAAAACGGCGATTTCCCAACAGCTGATCGGCGTTTTTTAAATGGCTGCCAGGTAAACAAAATGGCCACCCGCTGTTTTCTGAGACGGATTCCTCGCTTAAGAGGCACCGAAAATGACTGCGCTATGGAGGATCTTCACTGAGCGTTGAGTTTTAAGCCCATAGGAATGCATTAAACAGGTTTTAATGCATTTCTATGGGCTTTTTTTATTTCGCATTGCGACGTTTTCATTCTGCAGCGATTTTTGTGGAACGAATTAACGTCACAATGTGAGGCACCACTGTATTTTGAGACAGTAGAGGGTAGTTGACTGTTTTAGAGTAGGGCTCTGCTATTTGTGTCTACTTGTAGCTCCCAGAGGTTGTTCTTCAGAAGCCCTCTTTGCCACTTCTAAAATATCCTGCTACGTCCAAACCATATTATCAGCTCTTATCTGGCCCATGTTCCAAAGCAAAGCTTATGTATTGTCTCCACTGCCATCAAACGGCCTTGAAGTCTAATAATTGAGGGGCTTTTGCAGTCTAGGAAAGGGACAGATGGTGTAAGTGGCCTGAAAGGAGAGAATGGAGCAGGGCTCTAACGTTGCACTGCAGCTGCTCTTTCAAGCATGCCTGTAGATAGCTGGTGAAGGCCACAATCAGAGACAGATCAAATACGGAGTCCATCGCAGGTTACAAACACGATGGGGATGTATAGTCTCCAGGCTTCGAAGGAAGGGACCTTCAAATGCCAGATTCAGAGGAAGGGGGATCCGGAGACAGGGATCGAATTGTCTCGTGTGCTCCCAGAGGCATCTGGTGGGGCCACGGTGAGGTACAGGAAGCTGGACGAGAGGGGCCCTTGTCCTGATCCATCACAGGGCTCTTCTTAGGTTCCTATGTAGGAGAGCAGAAAGAAAAGGAGGGAGATGTTGTAAGTTCACCTTGTAACTTGCCTTGGACCTCTAACACATAATGCCTGAAGTGCCTCTTCTATCATTTTAGCTCACGTCTCCATCCTAACTCGATTCAGGGAGAAGGCAGCTTAGAAAGAGTCGCCACTCTGGTTGTAATGATGGTTCCATATATGTGGTTTTTGAATGGAGATGAGTTGTCCCGTCATCTCTAAATGGGAGATGATAAACTAAAGCCATTGTTAATTGAATGCTTCCATCCATATTCAAACAGGATCTGTACCTCTTTGCTTGAGCATTTTGGCGGCTAACTATGTGGATTAAATTAAAGATAGTGAGGGAAGAATAAAAAAGGTTGAGAAAGCAAGGCCAAGTTTTCAAATTCCTTCATATTCTAACGAATATGAAAACTTCTTATTTAAGTTAATATATCTTGAATGATTCAAAAACTTTTCTTCCCTGTGATGTTCCAGAGCAGGGTGTTTTTTTTTAAAGACCACGGATCTTGCAAATAGCTGGATGAGCAGATATTTCTGACTAATCTTGCAGATTCTTGGCCCATTTCCTCATACAAGTCAGTTTGCTTTCTGAGGAAGCTGAGGCAGTGTTGTTTTTTTTTTTTTGTAGCTAAGTACAGGAAAGGGTGGTGTTTCTGTACAGTAGGGTAAACCTGCTGAGTTTGGAAAATAATCCAGTTGTTTCTTCCTGCCAGCCTTTTAGGTTTGTTTTAGCCATGTGGCTGCACAAAAGTAGCATTAGAAACACCCGGGCCTATTTTGGAGGCCTTGGTTCTCAGTGCTGAGTATATGAACAGAACACACTCACGGTAGCTTGGCTGGTGTCATTTCCTCTCAACATATCCCCATCTGTACCCATGGACTGTTGCTGAGCACTTAACTGCCTCTACCTCAGGCAGTGGTAAATCCTTAACAAAAAACTGGTATTTGGAGATAGTCTTCATTTCTCCTGGTTAAGCATGGCCAGCTCCCTCAGCTCTTCTGTACAGAGCTTTATCCAGCTTGGGATAAAAACTGTACAGCATCATGTTGGCTAGGCAAATACTGGGCTAAACAGTGACACAGGATTGGTTCTGCCTTATTCTCATTTTGTGATTGATCCAGAAGATAATGTTTTGAAGGCCAGATGTTTCATGTCCAGTAAAGCTGGGGGAAATTTCTTGTAACCAGGAGTTCTGAAAATGTGTACTAATGTACTGGCCAGTTCTCTGTGCTTTGGAGAGCAGAGCATGGTCCTTGATTGTTATGGGATGGAGGAGAGAAGGGAGAAATAGACTGCAAATGGTTGTGTAGTAGTATAAACACACACTTCTGGTTTGAGTTGATATACTGCCCCATGCTTACATTCAACCCATGTAAATGGCTACAGGCTCTCAAATACCCAGTTGCCTTGTAACCCTAAAGAAATTTGCTTTCCATTTAAGATGCTTCAGCCAAATGGTGGTACAGTGGTGCCCCGCATGATGATGATAATCTGTTCCATAGAAATAGCTGTTTAGCGAAATCATTGTCATGCGAAATCCGTTTCCCCATTGGAATGCATTGAAACTGTTTAATGCTTTCCAATGGGGAAAATACCTCGTCGTCCTGCGAAGATCGCCGATAGGGAAGCCATTTTGCGAGCGCCGATCAGCTGTTAAAATAGCTGTCCTGCGAAGCATAGGTCCTGAAAACACAGGGAAGCCATTTTGCGGAGCCGCCAATTAGCTGTAAAAATCGTCATCTTGCGAACAAACGGTTCATGAAGCATGGACCAAATCATCATCCAGCGAAAATTCCCCATTGAAATGACTGTTTTGCGAATCGCTATAGTGATCGCAAAACCTCGTCGTCATGCGGATTTGTCATTTTACGAGGTCGTCATCTAGCAAGGTACCACTGTATGCTGCTTTATGTTGGAGGCATTGGAGAGGTCTGCGAACCTTACAAGACTACCATTTCAGTCGCGCTTACTAGATAGCACCTTCTCCCTTGCTGATGTCTCCCATTTATTTAGTCTAGAAGACAGCCCTTTCATTCAGCTCAGTAACTGAACAGATGAGAAGCTTTGTAGCACCTGATGTTGTCCTAAAGCTAACATTCTGCTCTCTTCTCCTTCCTTCCTGCTGACCCGCTTGCCTCCTAACCCTTTGTGTGCTGCATTTGCTGCTATGCATTTGCTTTCTGGCTTTCTGCACCTGACTGGACCTGCTTGTAGCACCAGGTAGGAGAATTTGCTATCCCTCCCAACCAGTTCCTGATGATCTAGCTGATCCTTCCTAAGAGTGTCTCTCTTCAGACTGGGTCCACTTGAACCTTGTAGTACTGTACACTAATGATGTAGAAATTTTTGAATGGAAAACAATCAGGGAGGAGGGGAAAGTAACTCTTCTCTAGCATCACTGTATCTCTAGTTCAACAATGTATTTAAATCCTTATGTTTCCATCTCACAGATAGACAGGTCTGCACAGACTCCCGTAGAACATTCTATAACTGAGTGATGTGTCATGGGAACTTTTGCCTCCAATCTTCACAGCACATGTAACAGTATGCCCTGCTCGTCCCTCTCAGTTCCATTTAGTCTACTGCTTCACCAGCCACTCAGTAATGCTTCACCCTCTTCCTTGACGTCATTGTTTCTTATTTCTCTAGTGTCATAGACAAAAATATTGGCACCCTTGCAATTCTGTCAGAAAAAGCAACCCTTCTCTCAGAAAATCGTTGCCGTTGCAAATGTTTTGGTACTCACATGTTCACTTCTTTGGTTTGCATTGGAACAACAGAAAAAAACAGAAGAAAAGTCAAATCTGATACAATCCCACACAGAAACGAAAACATGCACTGGCCAAAATTATTGGCACCCTGCCTAAGTTGTAAGAAATAATTGCTTTTCAAGCATGTGATGCTCCTTTAATTTGTATTTAGACACACCTGTTGCAAGTAAGAGCTGTGGGCAATATAAGCCTTTTAGGTTTGTTTTAGCCATGTGGCTGCACAAAAGTAGCATTAGAAACACCCGGGCCTATTTGGGAGGCCTTGGTTCTCAGTGCTGAGTATATGAACAGAACACACTCACGGTAGCTTGGCTGGTGTCATTTCCTCTCAACATATCCCCATCTGGACCCATGGACTGTTGCTGAGCACTTAACTGCCTCTACCTCAGGCAGTGGTAAATCCTTAACAAAAAACTGGTATTTGGAGATAGTCTTCATTTCTCCTGGTTAAGCATGGCCAGCTCCCTCAGCTCTTCTGTACAGAGCTTTATCCAGCTTGGGATAAAAACTGTACAGCATCATGTTGGCTAGGCAAATACTGGGCTAAACAGTGACACAGGATTGGTTCTGCCTTATTCTCATTTTGTGATTGATCCAGAAGATAATGTTTTGAAGGCCAGATGTTTCATGTCCAGTAAAGCTGGGGGAAATTTCTTGTAACCAGGAGTTCTGAAAATGTGTACTAATGTACTGGCCAGTTCTCTGTGCTTTGGAGAGCAGAGCATGGTCCTTGATTGTTATGGGATGGAGGAGAGAAGGGAGAAATAGACTGCAAATGGTTGTGTAGTAGTATAAACACACACTTCTGGTTTGAGTTGATATACTGCCCCATGCTTACATTCAACCCATGTAAATGGCTACAGGCTCTCAAATACCCAGTTGCCTTGTAACCCTAAAGAAATTTGCTTTCCATTTAAGATGCTTCAGCCAAATGGTGGTACAGTGGTGCCCCGCATGATGATGATAATCTGTTCCATAGAAATAGCTGTTTAGCGAAATCATTGTCATGCGAAATCCGTTTCCCCATTGGAATGCATTGAAACTGTTTAATGCTTTCCAATGGGGAAAATACCTCGTCGTCCTGCGAAGATCGCCGATAGGGAAGCCATTTTGCGAGCGCCGATCAGCTGTTAAAATAGCTGTCCTGCGAAGCATAGGTCCTGAAAACACAGGGAAGCCATTTTGCGGAGCCGCCAATTAGCTGTAAAAATCGTCATCTTGCGAACAAACGGTTCATGAAGCATGGACCAAATCATCGTCCAGCGAAAATTCCCCATTGAAATGACTGTTTTGCGAATCGCTATAGTGATCGCAAAACCTCGTCGTCATGCGGATTTGTCATTTTACGAGGTCGTCGTCTAGCGAGGTACCACTGTATGCTGCTTTATGTTGGAGGCATTGGAGAGGTCTGCGAACCTTACAAGACTACCATTTCAGTCGCGCTTACTAGATAGCACCTTCTCCCTTGCTGATGTCTCCCATTTATTTAGTCTAGAAGACAGCCCTTTCATTCAGCTCAGTAACTGAACAGATGAGAAGCTTTGTAGCACCTGATGTTGTCCTAAAGCTAACATTCTGCTCTCTTCTCCTTCCTTCCTGCTGACCCGCTTGCCTCCTAACCCTTTGTGTGCTGCATTTGCTGCTATGCATTTGCTTTCTGGCTTTCTGCACCTGACTGGACCTGCTTGTAGCACCAGGTAGGAGAATTTGCTATCCCTCCCAACCAGTTCCTGATGATCTAGCTGATCCTTCCTAAGAGTGTCTCTCTTCAGACTGGGTCCACTTGAACCTTGTAGTACTGTACACTAATGATGTAGAAATTTTTGAATGGAAAACAATCAGGGAGGAGGGGAAAGTAACTCTTCTCTAGCATCACTGTATCTCTAGTTCAACAATGTATTTAAATCCTTATGTTTCCATCTCACAGATAGACAGGTCTGCACAGACTCCCGTAGAACATTCTATAACTGAGTGATGTGTCATGGGAACTTTTGCCTCCAATCTTCACAGCACATGTAACAGTATGCCCTGCTCGTCCCTCTCAGTTCCATTTAGTCTACTGCTTCACCAGCCACTCAGTAATGCTTCACCCTCTTCCTTGACGTCATTGTTTCTTATTTCTCTAGTGTCATAGACAAAAATATTGGCACCCTTGCAATTCTCAGAAAAAGCAACCCTTCTCTCAGAAAATCGTTGCCGTTGCAAATGTTTAGGTACTCACATGTTCACTTCTTTGGTTTGCATTGGTACAACAGAAAAAAACAGAAGAAAAGTCAAATCTGATACAATCCCACACAGAAACGAAAACATGCACTGGCCAAAATTATTGGCACCCTGCCTAAGTTGAAAGAAATAATTGCTTTTCAAGCATGTGATGCTCCTTTAATTTGTATTTAGACAAACCTGTTGCAAGTAAGAGCTGTGGGCAATATAGCAATCCAACCAGTTAAGATGGAGAAAAGTTGACGAGCAGGGCATACTGTTACATGTGTTGTGTGTGATACTGAGCATGGAGAAAAGAATGAAGTGTAGAGTTGTCTGTGGATTTAAAAAACCTACGTCTTGCAGAGACAAGATGATTCCTTCAGACAATCATATAATAATTACAGTGATGCCTCACTTAATGGCATTAATCCGTTCCAAGAAAATCGCTGTTAAGCGAAAACGTCATAAAGCGAAAATAAAAAGCCCATTGAAGTGCATTGAAAACCGTTCAGTGCGTTCCAATGGGCTAAAAACTCACCGTCCAGAGAAGATCCTCCGTGTGGCGGCCATTTTCGGTGCCTGTATAGTGAGGAGTCTGTCCCTAAACACAGCGGGGAGCCATTTTAATTACCCAGCGGCCATTTTGAAACCGCAGATCAGCTGTTTAAAAAGCATCGTTTTGCAAAGAATTGGTTCCTGAAGCAGTGAACTGATCATCGCAAAGCAAAAATGTTGTCGTGAAGCAGATTCGTCGTAATGCAGGGTAATCGTAAAGCGGGGCACGACTGTATATGCCGTTAAGTCAGTTACAATGTATGGCTGCCCTTTCCATGGTTTTATAGGTATGAATTACTCAGAAGTGATATATTATTCCTTTCTTCTGTGGATGCCCAGATATATCAAAGACTTATATTGCCTCTGTGAATGGCATCTCACAAAGCCCTGATAATTCGTAGAGGGTTCACTAAAGAAAGAATTTGCTGTCCTTCCCAACCAGTTCCTGATAATCTAGTTGAACTGATCCTCCTTAGCAGTATCTGTTGTCAGACAGTCCAGCAACAAAAATGATATAAAGCTGTTCGTTTGGAGAGTTTTTCCAAAGACAGCTGATCAAGAAGCTTTTAATGAACTGCTTTGCACGACAAACAAATCTTTCATAGCAAAAAAGTCTTGAACTATGGCATCACCTACTTTGTTTTCAACCTCGCTCAGTCTTGGAAGTCCTTGACACTGGGCATTACATCACCAAAATCCTTTACGCCAGTATTCTTACCAAGCACAGGCCCCCACAACTTTGGTATAGGGAATGCAATCCAGGCAGTTCTCTTTCCCTAAAATCTCCAAAAAACTAAGAAACCTGCAAGTCGTGAACTGCCAAATAAGAAAAAGAAGACTGGCAAGAATTCTCTTCAACCAAATCATCAAGTTCAGGTTCAACCCAGCATTTTTGAGATCGCCGTTGTAAGTACTTTCTCTCCTGTCATAGGAGGACCAGACGTAGATGTAGGCATCCTTCAGTCTCGAAAGACTAAGGTAACATGCTCTGTATAGAGGACTTTGACGCTGTATGTGAAGCTGGAGTGTCCTCTCTAGATCACGAAGCTTGGGTAGAATAATATGGAGGATAGGCTGTTACCCAAGCAGCAAATCCCCCCTCTCCACATCACTGAAATAGTCCAATGGAAAGGCAAGAGCCAATACAACTGGTTCCAGCGACGTTGCAGGAGTTGAGAGAATGACACGAACTGCCTCTGGGACTCCGGCTCCGGATTTTGCCTCGAGGTTAACTCCTGAAGCCTTTTCCATCATTGGATATAGCCACAAGGCAGTGGAGGTTTGAAATCGGAGTTTTCCTTCTCCTAGATGGGCTGCCTTCCAAGGCTGATGAGCCCCACCTACCAGCAGTCCAAGGAATCCATATGGAAGACAGTGTCTCTAGATCACCTGGACACTGGATCTTTGGATTTTGCTTCAGGTGCTTTTCCGTCAGCCCCACTCAGCAGCAGCTGTGTGCCACTCTTCTGATTGAGGTCCTTTGCTCAGATTTTTTTGCTCAGATGATGAAATTCAGGACCCCTTGAAGGATGCTAAAGGTATGGCAGGCACTTCTGAGGACTATCCCTGTTGATCATGCACGGTCCAGGCCTCTTTTGCTGCTGCTTTTGCTGACATTGTTTCTCTCAGTTGCCTTATCCAAATGGATGTCCAGATCACTAGAACATTTATTTATTTGTTTGTTTGTTTGTTTGTTTGTTTGTGACTCTCAATAAACTCTTAAATCTTACTCATTGAGCAGATGACCTTCATACCTTGCCTTCCACAGAAATAATACCATGTTCAGATACCTCTTTTCTTCCAAAGGTGGTGTTACATTTCCATCTCTCTCAGAATATAGTTCTTCAGCCACACCACTTGGAACTTTCCTTCTTGTTCCCAAGGTGTACTGGGCTCTAGATTTCAGTCTATAGCTTCATTCCATAAGTCACCTCTTGTGAGAACAAGATATCCCCATCTCTTCACAGAGATTCACTAAATGAATAGCTGTGGCTGTTCTATGAGCCTTACCAATGAGGGGCCTTGTGACGCAGTGGTTAAACTGCAGTGCTGCAGTCAAACTTCTGCACACAACCTGAATTTGATCCCGACAGGTTCAGATAGCTGGCAGCTGGCTTAAGGTTGACTGAGTCTTCTCTTCTGAGGTCAGTAAATTAAGTACCCAGCTCATGTGGGGTGGGGGTGGGGGCAATATATAGCCTGCATAATTAGATTGTAAGCCACCCAGGGAGTGCTTTAAGCTCTGTGGGGCAGTATATAAGCAGCACACATTCTGTTAGCAACTAGCAAATCTCTCAGTTCCTGTCTTTCTGATAACCCATTCAGTTAGAGCTGTGGCAGCCTCTCTACCTTTCCTGTGCACTCTACAGTTTCAAGTAGGTGACTAGCCCCTTTTTGCTGTGCTTTTCTATGCCTCACGCATAAAGAATGTGTAGCTTGCCTCCTACTGGAGGCAAGCACAACCCACATTCCTCAAAACCATTTCTCTCAATATAGCAGACTAGGCACTGAGAAGGATGAGCAAGTTGCTCCTCTACATATGCAGTGCAGATTGGGGTAGTGTGGTCTGGTCAGAAGCCTGCTCAGCTGGAGAATATTCTGTGGGAGTCTTTGCACAGGTACAAGGCCCGATTTTTGTCATGACACAAATGACCTGTTGAAGAGCTGCAACCTCAGGTCAGCATCCCGCCTTTCCATGCCACTGAGGGGAGGGCTTTTTTTGCTTTTAACTGTAACAAACTTACTTCCTAACCTGGTGAGATTGGGGCTTTGAACCTCTAAGTATATTTGTCCTAGAGGGTTGATAATTGGCACCTCACATTGCTCAGCCTACTAATCTTATGTGGCGTTTGTGGAGTGAAAGGATTGCGATGACAGCTGTTTGCAGTTCGTGACTCATGGCGCAAGTCAATATTGTATTGCTAGTGCAGTTGTTGGTGATATCTTGGGGTCCTAAGAGCATATGTCCTCTATCCCTCACTGTTCTCTAGACCAAGGAAGAGCAGTCTCAGATTACTAGCCAGGTGACTGGACAGATTGGTTGGAGGCGTGAAGGCATCAAATACCGTCGCAATGAACTCTTCCTGGATGTTCTGGAGAGTGTGAATTTGCTCATGTCGCCACAAGGTAAACACAGTGTGGGCAATCTTAAGCATGTTGGCACCGAAACGAAAAATACATTCTGTGTATTCCCAAATGGCTCTTTGGCTTTGTTGGGGATTGTTTTTGTTTAAACACCAAGTTTGCCCTCTTTAGGATACCACGCTGTTCTGCATCATTTGGTTTTCCTTTCTTCCAGGTCAAGTATTGAGCGCCCACGTGTCTGGCAGGGTGGTGATGAAGAGCTACCTGAGTGGGATGCCAGAGTGCAAGTTTGGGATGAATGACAAGATTGTCATTGAGAAACAAGGCAAAGGGACGGCAGATGAAACGGGGAAGAGGTAAGGATGTGAACGGACGAGCTGTAAGCTTCAGGTTACTCTGCTTAACTTTCAGTGACTGCCTGACTTATTCCTTTCTCAGTTGGGAAGATATTCCTGCTTTTGTTAGCTTGTTTGCTGCCTTACCAAGATAGGAAGCTCTTTGGCTTATGATTTTCCCCCCTATGGAAGTAGATGGCTGAGTGGTGGTCTTTCTGTTGCTGCTTCAGTCTGTAAGGTTTTGGAGTGAGAACTCCCACAGGGACCACAGAAATTCTGGATCTTTGCAGGTCCAAGCAAAACTCGGTACTGGTTGGACTCCCTGTTCCCCTGATGTTCACCTGTTCAATGAGTGAACAATTTTAATCTAGACGTTTGTATTTGCTGCATGTCTGCAAATCAAGAGAGACACCAACGTCCTTTTGTTCCTCATTTTTAAATCAAGTCTGGTGGTCATGTGCCAGCATGTTCCTTGTTTGTGGGTGCGTGGGAGGGAATGGGAACGCCACCCACATTTCTTTGCCTTCCCACATGCTAGGTTTAACAAGGCTGTATTGGTGTGTCAGCCTTGCAGATTCCACACTCTGAAATCAATCTCCTAAGTTAGTGCAGACTGTCTCTGAGGCCATCCTTGTTCGCCCCTAACTACTTCTATATTTAATTATTATTTTTTCTTTTGTGTTCTGCTGACTCCAGTGAAACAGGAAGGTAGATAATCTGCTTACTGCTGTGTGCACGCCCTCTTCTCCCTTTCTCCCCACCCTTTTGCTTTGTGTGATTTGTGCATGGGCCACCATTTTCAGACACTTCTGCACAGGTCAGGCCTGTGGTTGAAGCCTGAGTTGCCGCTTTCTTGGTTTTGGAGACAGAATCCACAGGAAGGGTTGACCTCCCATCCGGCTGGCACAGGCAGATGCCTGAACGAGCTGGGCAAGGCTCCTAAAGTGTACGGGCAGGATTGTGACCCCTGGCAAAGGCTGTCATTGGCTTCTTGCATTAGCCAAGCAGCAAGATAGTGCAAGAACTACACTCTTTTCTCCCTGGTGCAGAAGCAGGAGGAGGGGAAATGCATTGGAAGGGATTTTTGAAAAAGTGAATCCAAGTACTATCTTATGGTGATTAAGGAAAGCAGCTACATCCTTCAGGAGCCAGGTAGAGGTCTCTCTTCAGAATTTGATTCTGAGAACCTAAATTCCTAGGCTTCAAAACTACCAGCTGAATCAAAGTTATTTTTTAGAGAATTGTGTCTCCCCCCCCTGCCCCCCAAATGATAGAGCATATTGTGCTCTGAGAAAAGATCTCCCAAGTAGAACAGAAGTCTTTATTCCTTGGAGGATGCAAATAATAATAATAAGTCAAACTTTCAGTAGATATATTGACAAAATATATATATACGTGGCCAGCTTCTTCACACTGCATCTTATCAAAGCCTGACCCATGTGCACATTAAGCAACTGCCTCCTGTGCCCATTCTGTGCCTTTGGCACTCACTGATGATACCTGCAATTCAGCCACCCTGCTGTACTCTAGCACGCCTCCTTGAATGACTTCGCCGTTTGAGTCATTCATTCACTGCCATTCAGCGCTTGCACCTGGCAAGAGCTGCAATGAGGTTTTGATCCTGTTTGGGTTGTTTGTGAACATTCTCCTCTCTCCGAGGCTGCAACGGAACCCCTTTTTCCCCTTGCTCAGCATAAATGCAGAGGAGTAGGAACTAGATATAAGTGCCCACGAAAGTCCCGTGGGAACTCCTGACATCTCTGAAAGAGGACATTCTCTGGCCCCCAAAGTCCTTGCAGCTACATGAAAATGAAGAGTTGCCTCTGGTGCATTCTGAATGAAAATCCCTTGTGCTTCTTCTGCATCCACCTCTTGTGGAGAAAAATTTTCTTCGTGAGACATCAGTCTGTCTGATGAAATGCTGTGGCTGGAGCAGGAGGGAGCCTATCTGTGAAATCCCACACACATACATGCACTGGATCGCAGAAAGGGGGGCCCCCTAGCTTGGTGCCTGGTGGGAGACCAAACAGCCATGGTGGCTGTAAGAGAAATAGTGGCCTCTAGTAGTGCCAGGTTTCAGACTTGCTCCCCTGTCTGCCTCGGCTGTTTTATGCCTTAGCCTGTAAAGGCAAAAAGGCTCGGTCTAGACCTGGTCATGTTGCAACAAGGGGAGACGGAACACTGCTCTACACATCCCTGCTCCCTTCTCCAAATACATCCTGATGACTGATCCTGATTTTCCTTGTGTTTTCATGGTGTAGCGGGAAGCAGTCCATTGCTATCGACGACTGCACCTTCCACCAGTGTGTCAGGCTCAGCAAGTTTGACTCGGAGAGAAGCATCAGCTTCATACCCCCAGATGGAGAATTTGAACTCATGAGGTACAATTTGGTGGAAATAGATTGTTTCACGAGTTGGCATTGGCTGCACTAAGTTGAGCACCAGTGGGCTTCCCACTTTATGCGGAAGTATTTTGAGTCACTCACAGTAGGTAAGCCACAGTGTCATTTTTATTTTTACTTGTACTTGTACAGGCATTCAGCCTGTTAAAAGTTAGCACCTACTCCAGAGCAGTTATACAGAGGACCCTGTGGACAATGTAAGTGGATGCCACCTTCCGAAACCCTTGTGAAGAAACCTTTGTGTAATTCACTTGCTGCTGTCAGTGGAAACTGTTGGAACTCGGGAGAGCTTTGAGCTCATCTGGACATTTTGTGCTGACACATTGATTCTCATTTGTGGCAATCCTTTTAGGTTTTTCTAGGTATAAAGTGTTTGACAGTGGTTTCCCTTCCACTGCTTATATTGGTGGTATGGAACCATGCAGCTTGCTTACGGCAACACAAGTGGCAAAGCATGTAACCACATCAGCTGCTTGCGCTCTGTGAGGTTGATCTTAGCTGGCCTCTTTTATGTGATGTGGTTCTAATTGTCTCACACTGTACTTCCACGCCAGTTTGGTATTAATTTGTTTGTTACAATTCAGTAGTTATGTTTAAGTCAGATTGAAGTTTTGTTTGTAAATGGGCACTGATTTGTCCCTTAAAGCAAAAACAAATATGTTAGCAGTAGCATGTAGATGTCATAGACAGTTATGCAAAGGGACAAGATTTATGGAATAAATGTGTACTTTCCTGTATAAAGAGTACTATACTGTACAGTGGTGCCTCGCTTAACCCCTGTATAAAGAGTACTGTACAGTGGTGCCTCGCTTAACGATGATAATTGATTCCCAAAATATCGCTGTTAAGCGATTTCATCGCTAAGTGAAACACGGTTTCCCACAGAAATGCATTGAAAACCGGATAATCCATTCCAATGGGAACGGATTGCCGTCCTTAAGCGAAAATCGCCATAGGAAACATCACTAAGCGAAACAGGGTTCCCCAATTGAAATGCATTGAAACCGATTCAGTGCATCTCAATGGGGGGAAAATTACAACAAATTTAAAAAGAGTCGGAACAAAGTCAAATTAGTTTAACAAAGGGTTTATTAAGTGCACTTATGATTTCAAGCATTCTAAACATTTTTAAATATTTAAAAAACAGCCAACATGAGGCTGTCAAAACCATCGTTAAGCGAAACGGGGACCCAAACTGTCATCGCTATGCGAAGCATGGTCCCAAACATC